TAAGGGAAGCCCTGCGTGCACAGCATTCTGTTTGCCACGTCTGCATTCCCTACAAAATACACCAGGGATGAGTGCACACACACGGAGGAAACAAAGGGAGGGCCCAGAAGGTCAACATCAGCTAAGAGAGAGAAAGGAGAAAGAACAGTCTTTTTTGCGTGTCGCATAATGCCGGCACAATCTACACAAGCGAGCTAAAGCGTCAAGAGACGGCAACGCCATTACGCCACGCGTGCATGCACGGTGCCCAGGTGCTTCTGCAGGTGGTGCTTGAGAAGGAACCTCCTGCCACACTGCGGGCACTGGTAGGGCTTGAGCCCCGTGTGGATGAGGGCGTGCTTGCGCATGTTGCCGAGGCTGCTGAAGGACTTTCCGCAGGTCTCGCAGACGTGCACGCCCCCGGTGTTCCAACCGATGCCTCCGCGACTTCGGCCCCTGCCTCTGGATACTAGGGCTGAAAGGGAAAAAAAAAGGCTTTCAGTGAATTCGCGCATCAAAATTCCGAGAGTCTGAGTGTGCATATTCTCAAATTGAGGGTTCTTACCACCGGAGACAAGCTGGAAGGACATCGACAGTGAGTCACCTGTAAATGATCAATGGGGGGGGAGATCTGTGAGGAATCGGCGAAGTGGACGGTCACTGGACATCTGCAGGGTGGTCAAAGCTCCAAGCTTTTGTCACCCTGCGAATGGTAACCAGTCGGAGACAGGTTAAGAAAATTTTAGTTTCTCCAACTTCAGCACACACGCATTGCTTTCGTTTGGGCTTTGGCCGCACATGCGATGATATGTTGCCAAAATCAGGATGGTTGTGCTCAAGCTGGAGCATGTACTGGGCCCTTAACCTGTCGCCGACCGTAGCCGCCAGTGTGGGGAGGTGCCAACATTGCAATTGTTAAACGCTTTCGCATAATGGTTTTAGGAATCAATAGGCATCTGGCGTGGATAGACATTTAAGCTTGCGAAGAAATCGACGTCTAAATCAGTAATGTAAAGCTGAATGCTGCAACTAGGGTGCCTCAATGTTTTTTTTTTTAGGGTGATGCCACCCTTTGTAGTACCAGATGCCGACAGCACACACTCACAGGAAAAATACAAAGAAATCGCCGAAAACAGAATGTCACCACAGCACAGTCAGCGCCACAAACGCGTGCAGGGACACACTCTTTCACGCCCTTCTGAAAAAAAAAAAAAAGAAAAGTAAACGTGTGGGACAAAATGGCCAAATGTCTCCACTGTAAGCAAGGCGCACATGAAGGCACCCTAGCTGCAACCAACTAGTCTGCAAGTGTAGAAGGCCTAGCTTCAAGGGGCACTGAAACTTTTTCAGATCTTCATTTCATTGTCATAACTCAATCTACTAGCTCTAATTGTCCTAAAATACCCGAAATTACATTTATGCACGGCCGATTGGCGTATTAGAAAAGCAATCAAAGATCCCGACACTTTCTGTTGGCGCAGAGCCACTACTGGCGCTACCGAATTTTGCTGAATATGGTTGAACGACGGATGGAGCTTGTCAGCCACTCGCAAGCGATGGGTTTTCACGTGGACACACGGGACTGGTCGGCCGCTGGTCCACGTGGGAACCCCTCGCTCGCGAGTGGCTACGCCATCTGTCGTTCTGCGCCAACGGTATGTGTTGGGATCTTTTATCATTTTTTTAATATATACAAATCGGCAGCGCGTGAATGTAATTTTTATTTTTTTTAAGATGTTTAGAGCTAGTAGACTGAATTATGACCATAAATCGAGAATCTCACAAAGCACATTAGTGCACCTTTAAAGTGAAATGGAGTATAGCAAACATTGTGCACCATGACTCGAGAGTAGTATGCAAGTACATTGCTATCTTGTCAATAAATTCACTGCTTGCACTTGCAGCAATGATTGTTACCTCTACAATGTTCATACTCTGATGTTGCAAAAAGGGCACAAGTATGACAGTTGGTCAGTCTAGAGAGCATGTAGCTCCTACTACACTGTAACAAATAATATTTTCGAATTCTGCACGACTGACGGCACTTGGTGGTCAAAACACATAGCTTTCGCTGCACGTTTGCTATGAAGTGCTGGGAAAGGGCCAACAGAGGTCAGAGGTAAGGGTACCTACTGTAAACATGGTAAATTTACATATGTGAGAGCTATCAACCGTTTTCGGCGCTGATTATTTGTGTCGAATTCCATGCTCTGGAGAAATTCAGTGATTCATCGCAGTTGGAAACAAAACACGGGTTAAAAAAAAAAAAAAAAAGATAGAAACCATGTACACAATCCTGTCCGAGATATCAGAGAAGCTGCGTAAAATACATCAAGCATCTAATGATAAACTTCGGTAGAATAAAGCAACAAAGATTCACACGGCGTCTTGGTTTATCCGCAAGTTCAAACAATGGTGGACGTTTCAGAAGCACAAATCGGTCTTCGGATTCTTGGTCGCCGATCGCGCTGATGCGTCAAACTCGCATATCCGGTACTTGTTGGGCCGACATGGACAAGTCTTCTATAAAATAAAACAGAAAGGAAAACGCAATGAAGCAAATTTCGCGCAGTTCAATACACGACGGCATAAACACGTCAATCAAGCATCTCAAGTGCCCACGGACCCGAAAACTTGGAGCGCATTTAGCACAAAAACATATATACTTATATAGAGATCGAGATCTTCAGATGCCGTGTGTCTTAAACCTGGAATACCCGCGGATGTAGCTTCTATTTTCCTACAATCAAGTTATGTCAGACCAAAATCTTGCGTTCTGATGACAGCCACGGGCGGGATGCTCGCCAGTGTTCATCGGAAAAATTGGCGAGTTCACAGTCGGCTTGGTTTCCGCAGTTTCTGTCGAGACTGTAGATCACGCTGCACACGAGACTAAGATCGACGGCTTTTGTTATTACGGCGAATGCGGTCGTTTGATGACTTGTAAACATTCTCTCTGCCGATAAGAAATCTCCATTCTTGACAGCTCTTCCGATCATGAAGCCGCTTGGCACTTTTCCAATGTTGCTTGTGTCTCTAGTGTTTGATTATGTAAAGCCGGTGAGATAATTGAGAGGGCAATATTTTAGGTATTGTAATATAAATGGTATAAAAAATAATAGTGTGTATAAAATGAGTTACATTTTTGCAGCATATTAAATAAATCGGTATTAAAAAAACATATTCTTTGCAAACATTTGGTGATATCCGTGTCGGGCGCATCGTCATCGTTGTAAGTAAATGATCTTTTTTAATCCTTGTGGTTGCTGTTACTGTTCGTTCGTGGGATTTGGATTAGACGGATTACGCGTATTAGGCGTATTGTAAACTTAATGCCTGTTTTTGTGATTCAAGAGTGTTCTTTGAAGTATATCAAGGTGTGGAAAGTGCGTGTGGTTGAGAAAGAAACGCGCATATTATGCCTGCTTGGTTGCTGACAAATCGCCTGAAGCTATGTGATCATTTCTTTTCCTTTTTTCTCGGGCATCCGTGATCGAAGGTTCCAGTTAGAAAACGTTTTACTGCGCTGTCTGCACCAAAATGCCTTGCATTTGTGTTATACTGCTTGTGATTCGCTTTCCTTTGTTGATGTGCTGCAAAGTTCGATTCGGCAAGGTTTCTTGTTGCGTATCTGACCAACGAAAGCTGTTTACTTTAGCATTATTATGTTTTGCATGCATGTGTATTAGTTGAATCTAGTGGCAAGAGGTACTCCCAAATGCTGTGTTGCAGTAAAGCGCTGTACTTAGTGTGTTGCGGTGTAAATGACATCCATTAACTGATCTATTCCTTTGTCATCCAGTCTGTATGATTACATGACATGCATCCCCCTTTCCCCTCCCCTTCTCGTCGAAAGTTTACATTTGAATATTCCTTTAGGTTAAACAGGGTGTCATCAAAGTGCTTATATCACCTCTTATGTCACACCTTTCTTGTTTGCTCAAATGGTAAAGTTTTGGTGGCAATGTAGACAAAGTACACAAACCCCTTTAAAGGGGCCCTGCAATGACTTTTTGACTGGTTTTTAATTTGCACTGAACCTGAGCGTACTGAACGTAGTAACTTAATCCAACTTTTCTTTTCTCAAATTTCACTTTATTTTAAAAGTTATAGGCAAATTAGAATTACAAAAACAAGCAAAAAATAACCTCCTTCATGACGTCGTAGGTCCTGCCTTGAGTGGCCTTGAACTAGAGGAGGAGTAGTGAGCTCATCGAGCGCACACGGCTGCCGCACTCCGTGTCGACGGCTCGAGAGGGCGCCACTAAAGCACGTGTTGAATTGGCTGTATGAAGCGGGCGGCCAGGGCAGCTCGTATTGCATTTGCAGCGCGACTAAACACTAATTCGGCATAACATTTCATTGGCCACAAACGACAGCAAACACGGGGTAAAGATCAGTTCAGAACGGGAGCCACTTCGCGCTGACGCACCGCCAAATGGCCGAATCGCCAGCAGGTCCCGCGCCGAAGGCCTTCGGAACGCTCGGAACCGGTCGGATTCTTGAGCCGGTATACGACCACAGCGCCGCCGCGTACATCCGGGACCTTTCTACGCTCCTCGTTTGTCGTAGCCTCATCCCACTAGCCTTTTCTAGTATGCGCCGTTTTTCTCCGTCGCTTGGTGGCGGGTATGTCGACGGGTCGTTTCTCGTTTCCGAACTTTCTAAACTGCATTTGTTTCTTTTCTGATCTAAAATAGTGAACAAAAACTACTTTCATACATAATTGAAACGGTTCGCGACACTTATATTTTGTATCTCGACTAAAAAAAAGCTCTTAGCAGCTTTGACCAGTGACAAGCCCAGGACCAAAGACGTCACATTTTGCGCGCTTTCGGTACCACGGGTCGCCCTCGTCGGTGGAGGAGGTTTCTGCGTCGTCCGGTTAAAATATGACGCACTGATATTTAGTTACTCTCTCCGTGCCCGCTGGCTTGCCCCAACCCCAAGAGACGTGGAAACCGCAAAAAAGGTAGACGCTTAAATATGATTGCAGGGCCCCTTTAAGTGTATTGAACCCCTTTAAGTGTATTGAAGCTAAAGCAACTAAGTGTGCAGGAGAGTTGGTTTAATACTAACATGGTAACCCAGGGGCAGGAGAAAAACAAGACAGACAAACACAAAGCCGAATGTAGGCTTGTTTGATTTACCTGCTTCTGTGCAGAAAAGTGTATTGCACTGTACTTCAGGTATTTGCATTGAGATACCCGACCAGAAGTACACCGCCCTAGACTTTTCTGCACCGGTGCAGGTAAATCAAACGAGCCTTGTAAGCAGTCATCCAGCTAGCATCGTATCACACTGTGGCAGAAATTTGTAGCATAATACCTCTAATAAACAAATAAAAATAACTAATTGGTTTTCTTTTTTTTTCTTTTTAGGAAGATGGGGGGTTTGAGCATAAAGAAGATGCAGTCTTCAGATGGTGTCTTGACTTCAAGTTGCAGCAAGCGGCGTCGAATTTTAACATACATTTCCGCAGACCCAAGGGCTCAAGAACGCCGCAAACACAATCCACATTTGAACGACGCACTAAAAAAAGGCTTCTGTGGCTACCGGACAGATTATTTACAGACCCTGGAGTGTCGAGAAGGGGGTGTTTAATGTCACTCCCAAATGCGTTGAAATGTTGGGCCCAGTTTGACTGCTAGCTTATATCAAAGGACGCACACGATGGTCACCGACAGGAAGAGGATGGCAGAGCATATCTTGACGCGCATCGGCTGCACGTGCGCACTCGACGCTTGCGGAAGACATTGAAGCGTCGTCGAAGGCCGGAACCTTGCATTGGAGGCGGGACAGCTGAAGGACCCTCCTGCCTTTTTAGACCCATTTGCGACTATAGCTGTGGGAAGCAAAGCCACCTTGGTAAATCCAAGGCAAAGCATCGGCCTATGGACCCTGAGGTAGTTCCTTTAAACCCCGGCCCAGGGTGACCCCGCATCCTAATGGAGGCTCTTGCCCATTCTATGTGTTCTCTTCCTCTCTGGTTGTGTGCTGTTTTAATGCAGTGCCTATGTCCCGACAAGCTCAACTCTCTCCATTACTATAATGGAGGCTTATTTATTGCCCCCACTGCCCCTCGTTGCTTTGGCACGTAAAACCCTTAAATTTGACTTTGACTCGATGGAGGGCAGTGAAGAGCAGCTTTCAGTTCTAATTTCTTTCCGTTGCTTCCGACGCTCGCAGGAACCGACCCCTCTTTGGTTTCGACGGTGAACGTGGCAGTGCGCAGGACGAGAGGCCACCCCTGCTCCTCGTGCAGCTACGTGGCCCGGTATGCGAGCGTGCTCAAGGTGCACGAACGCTGCCACAACGGAGAGCGCCCGTACGAGTGCCCCCTGTGCCCCCAGTCGTTCGTGCACCGGGGCGACTTGAACCGCCACACCATGTGGCACTCGGGCGAGCGGCCTTTCTACTGTCCTGAGTGCGGCCAGCGGTTCACGCGCACCCATCACCTCAGGGTACACCGCCGCAAACACTTGCATCCGGAAATGGACTGAAAAAGAACGTTCAGGTGCCGGTTTACGGTGAATCGTGCATCCTCATCACCGGGCTGCCATGTTTGGTCGTCATATCTGAGTACTGCGGAGTGAACTGCGGCGGCTGGCAATGCTCGTTTTCCACGTAGTCGTCGCCACCTTGAATCGTGAAACTTCCGACAGGGGGGGGGGGGGGAAACATTGTTTTGCCCGTGCCGGGCGACTGGAAGGTGTTCACGTTTTTATCAAGGCTGTCGGTCGTCTTTTGTTTTTGCCTCTTCTATATTTTCCTATTCTTTCCTGGTTGCAATGACTCACTCTTTTTTGTCCCACCATTCGGAGTACGCAAACTATGTGGTTGAGGACGAGGTTAAACGGAAAAAAGTCTGACTTTCCCAGAAATGTGCGGTTCCCCCCTCTCTTCCGTAACCTGTTTGATGCATTGCAAAATTTCGATGTTATCATGTAGGGCACACGAGATTATTCGTGAATCGAAGACTGTGTTGATGATTTCTGAATGTAAAGAAGGCAGAAAGAAAGCAAAGCAGAGAATCTGATGATTTTCTTTTGTGTTCGCTCTATTTTTTTGTACCTCCCGAGCCCCTGGTGATAAGAAATGGAGTCTTGCTTCTTCAAGGATGTATGAAACATTCAAGTCGGCATGAGCGTATATCAGAACAGTCCCACAAATACCTTTGCCGCGAGATCGCCTGGGATTTTCCCGATAGGTCGATTAGCCACAGTAGTTTTGTTTGAAATATTTGTTTCTGGGAACTGAGTCACCTGTGTGCTCTGAGCTGAATTTTTGCTCCGGTCCATCGATAATTGGATGCATGTTTCTGTGGATGCTTCTGGGTGTTTCGAAGTGGACTATTTTTAGCCTCTGCGGCGGCGTGCTCCCATCTGTATCTTTCTAGACGTCTGATGCTGCACTGAGTTGAGTGGTCTGGGACCTGTAGTTGTTTCTTTTGTGCATTATAGAGCGAATGTATACTATTTTGGGCAAGTCAAACAATGCCCTCATCCGAGGTAAGGTGATGTGATTATGCTAGCACCTTTTCCTTTCATTTTAAATTTCATGTGGTGATTATTATAGGGGATTGTCACTAGCTAGCCCTTGTCGGCACATTTTTAGTAAGTATTGTAATGTGCTTGTTTAACTGGGACCAACTGGAATCGCAGCTAGACATATGTCATAAATGTTGTGCATACCCTTTTCTAGCCGTTTCTAGGTCTACCAGTCCGTGTAAAGGAAGTTACTCACATGTGCAGACAAGTTGATTGCTTCGTTAATAAAATGCTGAGCTCACTTTACAATCTTCAAATGTTATTTGCTGAAGAAGCATAGTTTTCTACATTCGAACAAACCAATTCTTCTTTGGTGACTGGGAAAAGAGAGTGACCTTGATGCCTAAAACCTAAGCGTGTTTTGTGTTTGTTTAGACAGCGGGAACTTAAACCCCAATGGGCATCTTCCCCACTGTAGGTGAGAAATTTAGCCAGTGCAACACCACTGCAGTCCTAAGCTCATTAACATACATGGTGTCGATACAGGACTGCAAGCTGGTACAGTGCTGATCCAGATCGAAACGGGCAGGGATGGGGATCGAGTCCACGGTGTCTGGGTTCATCAGCGTTAGCTCGTGCTTTGAGCTGCAGGTCATAAATGCACTTGTTCACCATCGTGGAAATCGGCAGGAGTTGCATGTGTAATTGAAGGATGTGACTTGAGCTAACCATGGTATCGTAACCACCAAAGTAGCGATGTGCTACCTTGGTGGCCGTCCTGTCATGTTTGTTTCTTTACTCTTGTCCAAGTTTCTTTGCCGCTGTTTCTTCCCAAGATGTTCACCTCGAACCAACTAGCCTAGCACGTCATATTGTTGTAGCAATGTGGTTTATGGTTGTCAAGAGCTGTGGCCCTGTAGGATTCAGGTTTCAGCAGAGGATCTAGATCGAGCAGGAGACGGTGAGACCACTGGCAGTCATCCTTGAGGGACACAGCTTCCAGACAGTAGGCCCCTGAAGCATTGCAGACGGTGAGCTTGTCACAAGGTTCATAGTTGGCAGCTGTCCGAACTCTGTGGCAATCAGTTCATTGAACGACTTCATTGACATCGTTCCATCAACATTTCAGATTAGCTTTTTTTTTTTTTTGTTTTTAGTAATAAACTGCATGAGACTGTCACTACAAAGCGAAACGGCGTGTACAGGTCGGCTAAGTGGGGTACCATTTTTGTAATAAGCCGCCACAGGCTGTTGCAGCGAAGCGGCCTAAATGCAGGTGGGGGAAGGGGGGGGGGGGGGGGGGGGGGGTTAATGTGATACATGCGTGACAAAATGTCCCTACAGCGTGCAACCCTCTAGTGTTCCGACTGTTCTGTGTGTCCTTCTTGATATAAACTTTGTGCCATAATAATTCTAATTTCTTCCATGCTTCAAATAAATTCGTCGTTAAAGGGGAACTCCGCCGATTTTTTGGTAGACGTCGATTTGGCTGGAAATTTTCAGACCGCATCAATAACCTTTTCTCAATTGATAACCAAAATATATATATTTTTTTAATTAAAATGTTTCCGTGAAGTTATTGAATTTTCAAGTTACGCCGGAAGTCGGTTACAAGTCAAGAAGGTAGGAGAAGCTCCTCCCACAAGTGTGATGCGCCCGTTTCAAATCTCTCCGCAGTCGAAAGAAGAGTTCACTGGAAACGCTCCTTGTTCCGCTTCAATGGATTCCCACTTGTCTCCGATCCCACTTTTTAAGAAAGCGACCTTTGTATTCATCGGAGAGGAAACCGAGCCACTGAAAGTAGCCTTTGTATCCATCGGGGGGGAAGCTAATCCCCGAAAGTCGTATTTGTTTCCGTCGGTGGGGGAGAACTCTAATCTCCCTCTCGTGGCTTCCACAACGCTAAGTCAAAGTCCAAAGATAAAGCAAATATGTACAGAAAGGCAAGACCCTCCTCGCGCGTTGGCCGCGACGTCACGGGAGCGGTGGGACGCTATTGGATGCGGAGGTGGCGGAGGGATATCTGATTCCCTTTGAGGGGCATTTGCCGCTACCTTCTTAACCTGTAACCGACTATTCGCGACTCCAATTCACTATAGGTGGCGCCACTCGTTTTTCAAAATGGCGGGTTTAGTGAGGGTCGGAGATGCGTGCCGCTGCTCAGCCTGTCTAGTGTGCTAGCTTCACTGAGCGACACAAATTATTTCTGGTAATACGAGGAAGCTAGGGTGTTATGAGCGCAAGTCACCTCTTTATCCAAAAAAAAAAAAAAAAAAATGATATTTAGCTTAATATTTACGCCAGGAGGCACGTTTTAATTCTGGAGAGAAACCGAAACTAACCTTTATTTTGGATTTAATTTCTCGGTATAGGCCTTAATTTTAGACTCTTTCATGCTCAAGATGTGTCTCACACCGTAATGATTTATTTAAAGAAGTTGTTCGCGGAAACTTTTGTCCCTTTAAAGACAAGGTCTTTCATACACCTAAGAGGTAGCACAGAATATTATTATTTATTGAAAAAAATCAGTGCTGATATTTGTACGTTCTCGCTGCCTTTTCTCGCTCAGATAATTGTCATGTGAAATAATGAATTGCGGGCCTTTTAATGGGTTTTTTGGGTACTTAGATAATTAATTGCTTTAGCATTATTCCCAGCACAAGAATAACAGAATAAATCCAATTTATACTATATGTTCACAGAACGTATGAATTAAGAAACGCTGCTCTCACTAGAAAAATTGAAAGACGGAATCCGAGTCAGGCAGCTGAAGTGTGTGCGTTTTTTTTAAGCAACGCGGGGCGCATAGGAATTTATATTGCATCCAGTCATTGACTGTTTGTCTATCTTCATAACGATGTCAGAGGTTTTCATGTGCTAAAAAGAGAACATAATGATACCTTTCTGAAAAGACTATTATGGTTAAATGGCGTATTTTTGTGATCGTGGCGTCACTTGGGGGCATATGTTGTCGCGATTTGTAATAATAATAATATAAAAATAATATATGTCAATACCGAAGTTTTCAAGTTCTAAAATAATTTGTTGCTTATGATCTAATTTTAAACGCGCGAACAAGTATGACAATCTAGAGGATGCTATTTATCATCGTTGGTGTCAATTGCAGCGTTTTCAAGTACCAAGTTATAAAAAAATATAGTCTAAATCAATAAAACAGTCTAGCTAATGTGAGAAATTAATGTAAAATTAGATTGATTGAGGGTGCAATCAAAGTAGCGAATTTCGACAATCGGCAAAACTTCCGAAGTCGCCGCCAATATCTTTCCAGACCAAATCCCCCCCCCCCCCCCCCCCCCCCCAAAAAAGATTAATTATTAATCTTTTTTATAACATTTAGTTACTTTCGTATTTACGCGCCGTCGTTTTTCCCATCTCAGCCTTTCCATTTCGAAGGAACGCCTACCCGCTTGCACGTCTGCTTACTGCAGCAAATTTCGCTGACGTTGGAAAAGCCGGTGAAACAGTAGTGAGTTTTAGTATTGAGTATATAAGACAGCGCTGTGTGTTTGCGTTAGCTTTGCGTGCTCCACGCTGGGCGTGCGCGTTGCCTAAAATTCTGGTCTTTGATTGGAACATGGCAACGACGCGCATGCGCAGCGTGGAGCACGCCACCCTAACGCAAAGACACAGCGCTTGAGTCTATACGCAATACTAAAACTCTCGAATAAGGTACAATTCCATACCGGCTGCGACACCACGTTGGGACAGTGAAGAGTGTTGTTTCCGTTCGGAAATGATATTTCGTGAGCTATGATCCCGAGTAGTGCCGCCGTGCCCGCTGAGCAGGAGAATAGGGGGACCCTCACTAGAGCGCTTCCCGTTTCCGCCGCGGGAGGGCGAGCGTCGAGCTGGAGAGTCTCTACTGGCAGGAATAAAAAATCGTACGTTTCCCTTTTTCGTGGGAGAAAAAAAAAAAAAGCGTTTTTAGGCAGCAATGGAGGCCAGCCACGTCAAGGTGCTTTTGCGCGAGCTGTGTGCCGAGAGAACTAGTGTCACTTGGAACATATATTCGTTTATGCTCGGAATACTTTATAACCGCGTGCTGCGAGTTCAGTACCCTTCTGCAGCTGGAACAGCTTCAAGAGCGGCAAGCGCAAACTCAAGCCGGCTGTGAGCACTACGACATCTAGTACACAATCTAGCACCATAGTCGACATTTTGCAGAGTCACATTTGTTATTCACAATTGGTACAGTGATTTTTTTTTTTTTTTTAATTTTTTAGAAGCACTATTTTTGTTTCGGACGTCGAATCTAGCTCGGGTTACTCTCGGAGTTCCACTCACGCGGCCGATATGTTGAAGACGAAAAGTGAAACGTCAGTTCAAGTCTGAATTTAGACATGACTTTCGACATATTGCTATTCCTGAGGTTCATGGAGCAGGTGTCGAGCTCCAATTGTCGAATGATTCGCGTGCAATATTCTCTGCGGAAGAAGTGATGAAAACGTATTTAATTTATTCTATTGCGGAGAAATTTTATATAGGGCTAAAAATATTTTTTTCAACCATGAAAATATTAATGTTGTTAAAGGGAGGCATGCAAATTTACAGCTGATGGAAACTGTGCTAAACCAAATCTGGCCTTAGCGTGTCTCGTGTATGCAGTCATTTTCTTTATTTTTGCTGATTAGCCTATCTGCGGGTGTGTCGGTCTCCAAAGATTTGTCCCCGCTCCCTTTTAGAAAAAAAAAAAAAAAAAAAAAAAAAAAAAAACATAACCGAGCGAGAAAAAAAAACAAAAAAAAAACGCTTTTTTTTTATTGACATGATGGGGGCCCCAAAGAAATAAAAAGCTGCAATCGGCAGCATGTCATTAGATGACAAACAAAACCACACTGCGTCAAAGCGGACACTGGACATGGGTCAACTTCTTTCCAGGACTGTCTCTGTCAATATTTGTTGCATAAGCTCACGGGTGAATGTTCGAGATGGGCGGGTTTCTGCCGCTCAGAGTTGGCCACCAGATCGAAACAACGAAAACAACGGCCGCTCTGGTACAGTTCCGACCCCGTCGTCTGGCTCAAGAAAAACTGCGAGTTGCTCGAGAAGAATTCGAGCAGATGCTCGAACTTGGGATAATCCGCCCCTCCTCAAGCATCTCGGCGTCCCTTCCACGCACGATTAACAACAACTACAACAATCGGAGATTGAAGGTTTTGTGGGGACTATCGCGCACTGAACAAGAACACAGTGCCAGACCGTTACTCACTCCCCAACATCCAGGATTTTACTGTCAACCTCGAAGGCGCTACTACTTTTTTTCGCCCAAGACAGCCATCACAGCA